CTTTATCTCTTGTAAGATAAAAAGTGATTAAGGCCACACCCCAGGGAAACTCTGGTTACATCAACTCTGGTTACATCGGATCAGGGTTGTGACCTGAATAAGGGTGTTGCATGTTATCCTAATCCTCATACAAGTGACTGATAGCATCAGATCGTATTATTATTAATTAAACAGAAAAGGAATTTATTGAAAAGATACTGGCAATTCAGTAAATCAACAGTCACCAAAGAATTGGGCTTAGAAAAGACCAAGGCAACCATGGAGAACTAGGAGCAGAAAACATCTTTTGGAAGCATCCATTTGGTCAGATACCCCACTGACTCACCTGCACAGGTTAGACCTGCTCTCCACAGACTTTTCAAGGCTGTGACCATAAAGCAGATTTCTTTCAAGGCACTGCTGGGTGAGTTTGAACAATTAACTGTTCAGTCAGTAGTCAAAAACCTAACCATTTGTGCCATTCAAGGACTCTATATTCAACCCATGAGGCCCCTAAAATAGTAAGGGCTCAAATGTTCCCCAGGCTTCAACATTTTAGAATCACAGTGATGCATTACCTCAGGCCCACATTTGAAAAACATCTACGTTAGTTGAAAATTCATGTAGTCTCTACCTGGCTCATACTCTTTCTTTTACCACTTGCTGCACATGCATCTTTTATTTATTTGTTTTTTAACAGACAAGATCATCAGCTTCATTTTCAACCATTCGTATATTTTGTTTCATCTCAATGATTACACTCCCCTCCCTGCAACAAGTTATCCTGCTTCCTCCCAGTAGCTTTGCTTTTACATTTTATTTTTCACAAATCAACAAAGCAAACATATTTGATGTACATATACAAAAGATATATATTCATTTAAATGCTCAAAGGGCACATTTTGCAAGTCAGCCCCTTGCCTGCAGGCACACAGCCTTTCTCAGTCCATGGGCCTAGAGTCCTCAGCTGCTGTATCTCTCCACACCATCACCACTGCCACTGTTTGTCTCTGCTGTCGCGGCTCCTCTAAGTAGGATCTCACGCTCCATTCATGTTTTTTTTTTTTAATTAAATGTTTTTATTTTGCATTGAGTGAAAGTTTACAGGGCACATCATCAGCTTCACATTCAACCATTCATATAGCTTGTTTCATTACATTGATTATTATCCCCTCCATATATCATCAGTTTACAGTGTTTCTCTCTATCCTCTTTAGCTTTTTTTTTTTTTGGATGGGGGGGGGGGGAACTTGCCTTTTTGGAATTTACAGTCTCGGCTTTTAGGGGTATCTATGGATATCCAGGGCTCATGTATGAGATTACTAACAAGCATTACCGAATAATCAGATGAGGGACAGTTTGCTATGTCTACTAGGTAGCTAGAGTCTGATCCTCAGAGCCTATGGTTTGGACGGTCAACAATGCTTGGGCCCACAGGGGCTTGGCCTCCTGACCGGGTCTGCACTGTCTGCATCTGAATCCTCCTTATTTATTGATTGTTTAAGGGACGCTGCCTGTCTTAGGTAGTCAGTGCGAATTCCTCAGTCTTACCAGTCATTGAGACTCATTGCAGCATGGCAATGGCTCTGTCTTAAGTAGCCGAGGTTCCACGTGATCCTTACCCGTCTCTGGCCACACGTCCAGCATAAACAGCCGCCATCCGAGGAAGGCAGGGAGGGAGGAGATCGGCTGGGGACCCCATGCGCCGCCAGATGTTGCCGGCCCACCACCTGCTCTAAGGTGACCAAGCAGGATCACTATGCTGAGGTTCAATCAAGTTCTTAGGGGATTCCATTCATGTTCTTGATGGTCCAGGGATTGTCTGTTTCTGAAATGAAAGATTAACTACTCCCCTTTTCAGTTGCACAGCTTCTACAATGACAGCTGTGACAATCATGATTAATCCTGCTAACAATTACTAACAGTTAGATCATATTATGATATGAGGGATGATTACACCATCACTTAACTGCCAAATTACATCATTACACAACTTCTAACCACTGAGAAGTGCCTAGCCAAGTCAAGTTGACACATATTTTAGGGGTACACAATTCAATCCATGACACTGACCTATGTACCTTTTTCTTTGGCTGATTAAAATCTGACTCCTTTTGCTGTGATAAATTGTATGATAGCTGTTGTGAATTCTGTGAATCTTTCTAGCAAATAATTGAACTTGAGAGTGGTCTTGAGGCTCCCTGATATACACTATACTGTACTGGAGTCAAGCAGCCTCTTTTTGTTATGTTGTTGTTGTTAAGTGCCATCGAGTCGGGTCCGACCCATAGCGACCCTGTACAGGGTTTCCGAGGGTGTAAATCTTTACGGGAGTAGAAAGCCTCATCTTTCTCCCGCGGAGCGGCTGGTAGTTTCGAACCGCTGACCTTAAGGTTCGCAGCCCGATTCGTAACCACTACGCTACCAGAGTGATATAGGATATCTTTATATATGCTAGGGAAGGGCAAAGAGATCAGGGAGTGTTAGTGTTGGGGTTGTTGTTAAGTGCTGTCGAATTGGTTCCAACCCATAGCGACCCTGTATAAGGTTTCTAAGGAGCAGCTGGTGAGCTTGAACTGCCGGCCTTGCAGTTCAAATGGCTTTGCAGTCTGGTGCATTAACCCACAGCACCACACCCAGACTCAGTGTTGGGGTAGGAAAACCTAATAATTTTATTTAGGGTGGGTGGAGATGCTTCTACAACATTCTTGAAAGCAGAATTTGTGCTAATTTATTAAAAGAAGACTGTAATTTAATCTTGGATTTATTATAGGGATTGCTCACACCAAAAGTGACATTTAGTCTGACCTTTGGAACAGATGATTATTAGAACACAGATGAGTATACTATGGAAATCATCTCCAGAAACACAGCTAGCTTTCTGTGAAAAACACTCAGAGATATCTATACCAAGAGTGGAGTCCTCCTGTAGCACTGTAGGATACGCACTGGACTGCTAACCGCAGGTTGGTAGTTAACACTCATCAGACGCTTCTTGGAAACCCTGCACAGAGTCACTATGAATTGGAACCGACTTGACAGTACTTAACCACTACAACGAAAACATACCAAGAGTACAATATAAAAAATGACATGGGTTTTGTTCCAGGTACTTGTGATCTGTATTCTGTCTGGGTATATCATAAAGTGGCTGCCTCTCTCTTTTCTTATTATTTGTGTACTTCTTTAGTGACCCTTTCAAGAATGAATTGTTTTTTTCTTTTAATATTTTTTTGCTGATACTGTTTTCAGTAATGGAAGGCATTCTGAATCAAGGTGCCTTTCTTAATTTTGGTTATGAAGCATGGATTTTATTATTGATGCAGGCAGCTTTTGTTCCCTTAATAGGCAGAAAAAGATTCCAACAACACATATTAAGTTAACTTTGTTGTTTGTTGTTGATAAGTGTCATTGAGACAGTTTTCCAAGATTGTACCTGCTCCCTCTTCCCCCTTGAATCATGAACTTGGTCAGAAGCTAAGAACATGAACATTTTCATAATGTCTCTTTGTTTAAGGTCAGTTCCTTGGCAATGAGCAGAGAAGGAGCAGGTCAATGCTCTCTGGTGCTGGTCCCAGCGATTAAAGTCAAAACCCAATGGAGCATTAAGTTGGTTGGTGAAGTGCCATCCGGTCAGTTCTGACTCATAATGACCCCTTATACGGTTTGAACCATCGACCTTGTGCTTACCAGTCCAGTGCTTATCCTACAGCACCGTAAGAGGACTCCCTTATGCAGCATAGAGAAATCAAAGGGACCACTAAGGTTGGAAACAATACACAAGAAGACATACTTTTTATCATTTATACCCACCTCCTTGCCTTGTAACAGGTTCCTTGATCCTTGTTGGGTAACAATTTCCCCCCGTATATCCCCTGAAACCTCCCTGAAGCTCCATAAAATATCCTTATGCCTTCTTGGGGAGACAGCTGGTGGCAGTTGTCTTCTCAAGAGCACAATGAAAGCTGACCCTTTTCTCCTAACCAAAAGCCAGTCTTGGATTCTTCTTGGAGTCACTACTGCTCCGGTTTCATCCAGCTCCAAATTTTGGGGACTTGTCAGGGATTGGCTTCCCCTTCTGCCTGTGACATATGGACCTCACAGCGTGGAGACCGCCCCCTCTCATCTTCGGCTGCTGTCAGGGATTTCCCCCTAAAAATGGGAGGAGGTGTTTTCTTGCTTTGGTACCCTCGGTCTTCAGTACAATGTTGACTTTTGGAGGAGAAGAGCAGTAATTCCTACATGGCTTAGAGCTTGAGCAAGTAGAGTTTCCAATTTTCCTTCTTGATCCAAACAAGAACAAGCATGCACAGGGTAGGGTGGGAGGCATCCTGGGCAAAAGGTGATCCAGGTACTCGCCAGGAAAGAGAATGGTACTGCGCAGTCTTCAAACCACGGGAACTGGTCCCCTGTCCCTGAGACCCATCCTTGGCTAAAGGAGGATGTAGGACAAGGGAATGAACTATCAGGGTTTTAAAGCCTCTTCCTACCCCAAACAGATGTATAAATGGATCATGTGAGTGAGGCAAGTGAATGATGTGTGCAGGAATTCTAACACTACAGGTGTTCTAATGTTTGTCTGTTTTATGCATTTTAACTACTTCTGGAGTTTGAATGTTTGTTGTTTTTGTTTGTCCTTTTTTGTCTAAGAACAGGAATTCAGATTTTTGGCTTTTTCTGACTTCATTTGAGTTTCAGGACAACCCAGAGGACCCTCTACCCCCACCACAGGGGAAAGATACTCAAACAAGTTATTTGACCAGCTTGGAAGCGGAACAAGAACAAGAAAACAGGAAATAGAGAAGAAGGGGTGGCTGGAGTGGGCAGAGAGCCAGTGTGCAGAAATAGGAGGAATGTTGTCCTCACAGCAAAACTGCTGTGGGCAGTCATCACACTCGGTCAGATGTGGAACTTGTTAGCTCTCTCTATGGGCTAAGCATTTCCAAGAAAAGGATGCCAGTTACAGGTGGGTCCTAAACGGTGGCATCAGATGACTGACTGAGACTGTAAGGACCTATCCATTAGCGGTGGGCCATTTCAGGAGTAACAGGAGGCCTCCTGGGAAACTTGAAAGCATTCTCAGGAGCTCCCTCTTGGGCTGCATACTAGAGAAATGGAAAACCTTCAGTTATGAGCCCATGACAAAAAAGAAAATGATTTTCTTTTTGTAATGTTGCCTTTCCCCAACACTCCCTTAGCTTGGGCAAGCTCAGCTTGGAAACAGTTCTTTATTTTGGAAGAGACAAGAGATTTTTGTTAAGTGCCACGGAGTCTGTTCCAACTCACAGTTACCCTGTATAGGGTTTCTGAGGAGCGACTGGTGGATTTGTAGTGCTGATCTTGTAATTAGCAGTCTAGTGTTTATCCTATAGTGCCAGACCAGGAACAGAAGTGGGATGAAATCAAATACAGTCAAGTATTTAAGTCACTGTGAATCCTGGTGTGGTGCTCGCTGTAGGATAAGCACTACACCACAAGGTCGATTTGAACCACATGATTGGCAGTTCAAATTCACCAGTGGCTCCTCAAAAACTCTATACAAGGGTTGCTAAGAGTTGGAACCTACTCAATGGCACTTAACAACCACAACTAGTTCCACATAGGAGACTTCCCATCTGAATACAATAAGGATATTAAATGATTTGACTTCCAGAGTGTACAGGATGTCAAAAGGAAAAGTCCAAGTTTCTCAATCATTTAGTAGTTTATTTAGGATTTAAAATCTCTAAAAGAGACAGAGATTTGTTGCCTGACAGAGGTCACTGCTCAGGGATTACCACGCCAAGGTTCTGGAGGCAACTCAGGATGGCTGGGTTTTGCAGTGTGTGGAAAACAATGCTGGGCTGATTGCAAAACCCACTTACATGGCTTAGAAGTGGGAGGAAACAGCCACTCCCCACCATCCAATGGACTCTGGAATGCCAAACAACCTTTAATGAAATCCAGCCTTAGGACTGCCCGACTCAAGGATGCCCTTGGACCTGTTGCGCATGAACAACAGGTCCTGGGACTAGAAGTGCTCATGCAGACTGGGGGTGGTGGTGGGGGGTAGGGACCTCCAAAACCGCTAAGATGACAAAAGGAATGTCAGCCTGCCTGAGGGGAGTAGCTGCCACATGTGAGCTCTTGCAGGAAGCTGAGTTTACTTTGGGATAGCCTACCAAAGTGTACTGTCCCTATTGGAACAAAAAGGTAGGTACTGGCTAACCACTGGTTGAGAAAATACCTGGCCATCCTTCTAGATAATCCAAACATCAGACTTCAAGCAGTTTCCACTCTTAACCCTGCCACCCTCTTCCTGACAACTGAAGGGAGGCCCCGGCATCACTTTCTACCAGCCTCGTGGACCATGGGAAGCCCTTAGAGGGGTGTATAGTGGTAACACTAGCAGAGACACTTGAAGAAAACTGTCATGCTGACCAAACAAAGGTTGTGGCCTGGCTCCCGTCCTTGCAGACTAGGGCTAACCCACAATCTTGGGCTGGAGATACTCACATCTGAGTACTCCTCTGAAGATCTCAAGAGAGCAGCTTACTGGGGATTAAAAAATTCGCTAGGTGAAATGGCAGCTACATATCTCCTGGAGACCCCGATCGACTGAGAACACCAAGATAAATCCCACCTTAAAGAAGACTCCGGCAAAATGTTGCCAAGAGACAAATCTAACTTAGGACTAGGTGCTTCCCCTTGCCTTCTCAGAGTCAGAGGTGCCTCTAAAAGCAGGCTCCAGTTAAGTGCTTATGAAATGGCATATGGACGATCATTCCTTAAGAGAGGTGGTGAGCAGAGCTTCAACCCAATGTTATTAGCTGGGTTAGAAAAACTAAGGTAGCAACTAAGGCCTTGGGGAGACATCGTATCTTTAATCAATGTGCGTCTAGCTGCTTGTCTTTCCCTACAGATACTTCATGGCATAGTTCTGAATCAAGTGACAGAATCCTTCTGAGAACCTGGAGAACTCAACACCAGGGAGAGCAACTAAAGTACAAATGGGAGAGACCCTTTGCTGTTCTGCTAACCACTCATTCCTCTCTTAAGTTAGCTAGAACAAAATCTTGGATACTTACTCTCGAGGGGAAGCGATACCTCCTGAAGATGAACAAAGCAGCCTGACCTTCACTATACCTGCGAGCATTTGGAAGACCTTAAATGTGTTTAAGAAGCAATACTAAACTTTCCCTTTTCTTTCCTCCTCTTAATTTTTAGAAAAAAGTTGAAATCATCCCAGTATGCTGATGAGAGTCAGACTGCTGACAATGACCAGGTGCTGCTTGCTATGTCTATGACCATACCACCACCTCATCTGCCTCAACTTTCCCATCATCCTTGCTTTATACCAAACCACTTGTTGTCATGACCAGTCATTTATTTTACACCGACCTGCTTGGCTTATACCCTCTAGCTGGTAGGAACCATCCATTGGGATAAAGTACAGGATGGAATAGAGAAAGCATTTTACATCTTAAAGGACACCAGCTAAAATGACAGTCTCAGTGGGCAGTATTTCCAGGGCGAACAACATGAATGTTTTTATCCAAATATTGCAGGCCACTTGGTCAAATGAGGAAATCTATTATTGTGTGAAATTTAGGAAAAAGTTCCACAGACGTGGAATTAACTAGAGGTCAAGGAACCATTTTCACAATGTGGCGGTGCGGGTTAATGCGCTTGACCGACCACAAAGTTGTTTAAACCACAAGGTTGGTAGTTCAAGCTCACCAGTTGCGCCTCAGAAACACTATGTTGTTGTTGTTATGTGCCGTGGAGTCGGTTCTGACTCATATCGACCCTGCAATAGGGCTTCCGAGGCTGTAAATCTTTATAGGAACAGAATGCCTCATCTTTCTCCTGCAGAACAGTTGGTAGTTTCGAACTGCTGACCTTGCGGCTCGCAGCCCGATTTGTAACTACTACACTACCAGAGCTCCTTCGGAAACACTATACAGGGTCGCTACGGGTGGGAGCCGACTCCACAACACTTAACAACAACAACAACAAGGTCTCATCCATGAGCTCAATGACTAGTATTGACCTCAAATAGTTTGATTTGCATGTTTCAGGTAGAAACCCTGGGGCGGGATTCTGAGCAACTATTAGATGTGTCATCATTAACTGCTCATTGACTCACTCCTCTGCCCCTGGTCCCCTTCCTGTAAGGGTTATGCTAATTAACTATCCTTTTTAAGTCCTTTGCTTTTCACTAGCCCAGATCTCTAATTTATCCACCCAAAGCGGGTGGGAATAGAGCTAGGCCACCCTGTTGAGATCCCAGACTAGGAATTTAGGGACTTCCAACTATTTCTGACATGCAACTCCTCCCTAGAAAAATCTTGGCTTATAGAAGCCAACCACACCATCCCTTTGGGTTTGAATACAAACTTGTCCTAGTGTGTTTCTGCAGGATACATCTTTCTGTAAGGGACTGAACTACCTTCAAGCAGGGGGCAACCCTGGAATTCCTCTACACCTGGGCTCTCCAATGTTAAAATGAAATTAATTATTTAAGACAATGCAAGTTGGGGCTACTAACCTTGTCCACATGGGTGGTACACCAATCCTCTCATGCTTTCCAGGGATGAAGCACTTACAGCTTGTTGCAGATAAATTCTGACACATTATCAATTACAGGTGCAGGAAAAAACCCAGTCGTTGAATGTATTGAGTTTGACTGGTTCTTCTTAAGAACGACCATTCCAGGGATAGAAGTTAGACCACTTGTTAGTCTATGGAATGGAAAAGGGCCTTAGAGCCCAATAAACTTCTTTAAATTCCCTTTCTAAGGTTGTTTTAGAAAATAGAATAGCCTTGGACTTCCTACTAATAAGCATGTTGTTGTTAAGTGCCGTCGAGTCGGTTCCAACCAATAGCGACCATCTATAGGTTTTCCAAGGAGCAGCTGGTGAGCTTGAACCACTGACCTTGCAGTTCAAATGACTTTGCAGTCCAACACAGCCCACAACGCCACACCAGGGGTGGTATATATATATGTGCAGTAACCAATAAAGCATGTTGTGTCTGGATAAATACCACTGGAGAAGTAGGAATAGGGTTGGAAGCTATTCAACAGGCTGCCCAATGGACCTGACTCAGGTCTTACAAGAAGCAGGTTGGAATTGGTTAACCTCTTTGTTTCCCAAATGGCACTCCTGACTTTTCCCTTTAATAGTGCTCAAAATTTTAGCAGTCACTGCTGACACATTTATTCCTTGCTTAGTTAAAATAGTCATCCAACTAAGACCCCAGTCAGTTAGTGTGTACTCCCGTATTACCCAAAATCTCATGGTCAAGAGCAGATTCAAAGGGATGCTCTGCACTTCTACTCCTCCCATGATGGCTGAATCCCAAGTAGCCCTGACTTCATCCCTGTCCAGCAGGAAGCAGCTCAAAGGTGATGCCCTTGGTCTCAAGATTGGGAAAGGTTCAATCACAGGGAAGTTGATGAAGGCAGTTTTTGCTCCGTTAGACAGCATTTTACTCTCTAAGACATGGGCAGAAAAAGGCTCCAGCAACACATTTTATTTTAACTTAGCCGGTTTTACCAGATTGTACCCTTTCCTTTTCCCCCTTGAATCAGAAACTTGGTCAAAAGCTAAGAATATAGTTAACACTTTCAAAATGTCTCTCTGTGTAAGGCCAGTTCCTTGGTGAGGAGCAGAGAAGAAGCATATCAGTCTGTTCTCTGGTGCTGGTCCTCGCTATTGAAATCTCCTTGAAGCCCTAACAAACATCCTTAGTTTCTCTCCTTGGGGAAGCAGTTGGTGGCAGAGATTCCTGTCTGCTTGCCTTCTTGAGGATGCAATAAAGCCTGACCCTTTTCTCTCCTAACCAAAAGCCTGTCTTGGAGTCTTCTTTGTCTCACTTTTGAGGCAGGGAGAGAACTCAGGTTCTGTCCGGCATCGTTATGTGGGGCACATATGCCCAATGGACCTCGGTGTTAGAAAAGATTGGTGGGATGAGGCACGGATAAAATTGCCTATTTTAGCAATTTTATTTTATTTGGTGAAACTTTTCAAAACATGGGGTAATACATAAAGGCACCTGACAATGGCTGCACATAACTGTTGTTCTAGTCTCCTTCTTCTTCGAGCTGCATTCTCTGCATCGCCTTCTAGATCCTTGGGTAGGTAAATGTTTTCCAACCTGCTGGATACGTACGTCATCTGGCACCCCGCTTACTCCTGGCTTGTTCCTCGCCAGAAAGGAGGGCCTTCCTCTTTTTTTCCTCTTCTGGCCCACAGTAAGCTGCCTGATGAGAGCAAGCCTGAAGGATAGCTGGTCACATTTGCCCCCGTGGTTACAGTTCCACATTATAAAACTGTTTACAATGCCAAGGTCAATAAGGAAATACAGTAATCGATGCCACCATTTGAGAGACCGCCTTCCAATTGCACACCTTTCGCGCCTCTGGTTAAAGTGGTCCACTCCTCCCATAATTGCATTGTATTCTGCAACTGCTTTGGGGCATGGGATTACTGTGGTGGAACCATCTTTGTTCTTTCTTTTGACAATAGTGATATCCTTTGGATTGTGGAACGTTGACAAAATTGTCACAGGTTTATTGTCCTGCCACTTTATTGCTGACACACATCCTTTCGTACGAAACCTGAATTCTCCGTGCTGTAAATTATCTTTCCTCCTCAGCATGTCTGGTAGCCCCTTTCTAGTTGCTCGCACTGTACCAACAGCATACAGTCCCCTTTCATTCATGCTTTTCATCAAGTGATAGGATGTAAAATAATTGCTGAAGGCAATGAGCCTGTGGGAATGGTACCATGAATGACATAATCCAAGTACAACACTCTCACCGAGGGAGAGAGATGAATCGCTATCTATACCTTTTTTTCCACAATAGATATCAAACTGACTGACAAAACCAGTTTGTGAGTCAGCCAAGCACCAAACTTTGTATCCTCGCTTGATGGGCTTTATGGGCATATACTGTTTTATTGATGAACGGCATTTGAATGGCACCATGCTTTCATCAATTGCCATGACACTTGATGGCATATACACCTCCTTGAGGCGACTGTTGAGCGCATTGATAATTGGGCGCAATTTGTGAAGCCGGTCATAGCCAGGTTCTCCTTTGGGCACAGCTTTTGAATTGTCATTGCAGTGTATGTTCTCGGTCAGTTTCTTGAATCTGGCTTTAGTCATAAAGTCTGGAACTGAGGAAAGACCCAAGAGGGGGTCACTGGACCAATAATGTCTGAGTTCCGGCAAGACGTGTATTCCCATCAGGATGTGCACAGCAATGAATGCCTTTATTTCCTCTACAGATGTAGGCTGCCAGTTCTCAGTTGATTTTCTAATCTCCTGCCCCCTATACCGTCTAGTGCGCTCCTGGGTTGCATAAAGATTTGTTTGGTCCTTTATAGTTTCCAAAATCTCTTCCGTAAATAATGACAAAAAATAATCCACCTCTGTGTCTGTATTGGTCAAGTCTGGATAAACTTTGGCATGATGCTGAAGTGAGGTCGTTAGACTGTCAAAGTAGGAGACATCCTCACACCATTCCCCTTCATTTCCTTCCCTCTCATCATGGGCACCACCTTCTGCTTCAACCCTTTCCTCTGCAACATCGGCTGCTTCTTCATTCTCTACTACCATGTCAGTGTTTCGGTTCCTACCTTCAGAATGTGCTGTAGGGACCACGAGACGGGTAAGCTCCTGTGAGGCATCCTCATCACACTCCTCCTCTGAGTCCTCTTCGTTGTCGGGTAGAGAAAAAAGATGATCTAGAATTTCTTCATCCTTCTTAAAATAGGCCATTTCTAAAACAGAGGGATGGTCCAGAAAAAAATAATTATTGGCTCTGCAAAACTAGGAAAATACCTATGCCATAACTCCAAATAAACATGGGAATACACGTAGGGAGCAAATTGCCTAGTTCAAGCCTCCTGCCCAAATAAATGATGCCAAAGGAATTTGTGTCTCTGGAAAATCACCACTACAATGAATTTTTTCTTATTGCAAAAGTAGTACTTACAGCTCAGAAACAAGAAGAGCAGTCCTGGAAGATTGCAGGACACCTACTCACAGCAGATCAGGGACGCCACAACACGTGGGTACAATGAATGGCGCCTGAGGAAGAATGGTGCCTGAGAATAACTTATTCTCTTGAGAAGTAAATCCTAGCAAGCACACAGGAACCAGGAAATACTCTAACAACCTTATCTCCCAGTAAAAGAGCCCAAAGAGAAAAGTTTTGGAAAATCACACCTCCAGGATACACCTAATACAATACCCTTTCAACATAGAAATGTGGTGCCAACGACTGTTTCTTCAGTTTCTTGCAGTTACACAGGTTCCAAACTAGGAAAGCAGCTTCCCAAGAAACCTGAGAGGTGGAAAATATTGGTAGGCGATGTATGTCCCACAGGTCATGAAAGGGTTGCAACATGCTTTGTTTCTTTCCATGTGCTTCTCCTGCTTTTATTTCTTGTCTATTACTCTGACATTTCTCAACTCCTTTGCTTTTCTTTCCTTTAATTTGGTCACAATATAAAATGTCCTGTGTTAGTGTTTTCTTTTTATTCCTTGTAATATTTTTAAAATGGAAATATTCTGGATAAAGAACAAAATTATTGCTCCCCTCTTTCCCAATTGGTCAATGGCGGATACATCAAAAAAATTCTCTACTTTTCATTGGGTAATAAGGAAAGAACCATCTACAACTGCCAAGACTAGCCTGGTAAGGGAGAGTCAGTCTTCTGCTTTTTCAGCGAGACACACTGTCTCAGTTTCCTAGTACTGCTGTAACAAAACTAGCACAAGTGGGTGGCTTTAGAGAACAGAAATGTTTCCTCAACTTCAGGGTCTATCTCTAGGGGGAGATCCTCCTCTGTTTATTTTAGCTTCTAGGAGTTGGCAATCCTTGGAGTTCCTGGGTTTGTAGCTTCATCTGCCTCTGTGTCATCAGATAGTGTCTGTTTCCACCCCTGTGTCTGCATGCTTCTCTGTGTCTACACACTCTTCATGTAACTCAGAAGTGATGAGGCTTATGATCATCCTAGACTTACATGACCTCAGCTGATTGACTGATTATAGTACATTAGTTTGTGTTTATGAAAAGTGATTAACTAGATTAGATTACATTTACAGGTATAAGGGTTAAGAATCCAACACATAGATGGGGGGAGCATAATTCAATCCTTAACATTCCACTCTTTGGTCCCCCAAAATTCATGTCCTTCCCATGTACAAAACACATTCACCCTCTCATACACACTGCATGAAACCGTGGCCCTTACCGCAGTCCAGCAGGAGCTGGGGTTCTGAAGATCCATAAAGGTTCTTAGTCTCTACTGACTGGAATTGGACACTAAGGGCTGGTTCTTGAGATGCCACCTTTCTCCTGAGAATTTCTTGTCCATGTTCATGGGCTGGTGCCTGAGAAAAAGAAAGTATACTTGGGCTTATGAGGCAATATCTGTTGGAAACAGACACCCATCTTAGAGAAAAGAACAAAGGGAATGAATGTCTTGCTGGAATATAAAATTGGAGAAGGGTGAATTCAGTCTGATTTCATGGTAAAATGTTGTATGGAAACAAGACATGAATACACAGAGAACTAGTTTCACTAGAAATGCAGTCTCAAGCCCTCTACTCCCACTGTGGTATCCCATCCCTATGCACCTGGAGTAGTGCTTCCTCAGTGCCTCTCTCCAAATCTTCTAGTATTGTCACTGCTTCCTCTCCACTCTCTGGATAATGTTCTCGAATCCAGCTCTGTAGCTCCCCAGGCAGGATGGCCAGGAACTGCTCCAGCACCAGCAGCTCCAGGATCTGCTCTTTGCTGTGGGTCTCTGGCTGCAGCCATTGTCGGCAGAGTTCCTGGAGCCGGCTCAGTGCCTCCCGGGGCCCAGGGGAGTCCTGGTAGCAGAATTGTCTAAATAGTTGCCGGCAGAGCTCCTGTCTGAGGGGATCACTTCTCTGTAAGCAAGTGTCCTGTCTCCATGTAAAATCTTCTTCTTCTACCTTCATTATCAGAAGTCCATCCATCTCCTCTGGAGTCTGAAGATTCTGAGCCACAGCTTTCTTTGATTCTGTTTCCATCTCAGGATGAAATATATTATGGGAAAATCCAATCCTGTTTTAGAAAGTGTCTTCTTTAGTTTCAGAAACTCTGCTGAAGAATCAAAAGATTACTATTAATGTCTAGGAAGATGAAAGACCACGTCAGGCATTTACTAGGAACTGAGATACCTACTTTGTGAAATATAGCTGTTACATGACTTGTGTCTTAAAGCAGTTTAAAAATTAGATAATTTTAAATAATTAAATATAAATTAATATTAAATATCTACAAGCCATATGATTAAATTATAAAAACAACATACAAAAAATTATAGAAGTGCTCATAAAGTCAAAGATCTTAAAGATTACAGTGGGCTGCAATGGTCAGGGCCAAGGTAATTTAAATACTAAGTTTTTAAATTGAATTTTACTAGGTTGTGGGAGGGAGATAAAAGGAAATTACAGTAAAATGTGTGAAAGTCCGAACCTGTGTAAGGCAGAAACCTGTTAGGGAAGGAAGACTCACTGGGTATTTATAAGGTAAGATTCTTAATAGAGAACTATAGAAAAGTGCTAAGAGTGCCACCTGCCAAACTCAGGAAATTTGTGTGACCCAGAGAAGAAACATGGCTGTTCTGTTAAGTCCCAATGCTCACAAGCTTCACTGTATAAGCACGGTAACAGCTTGAAAAAAGTGGTTAGTGGTGGATCCCAGAAGTGGGAAAGCAAAAAATTCAGTAGGTTTGTATAATGTAACTGTAGAGACAAAGGTTGGGTTATTGCTATAGAAAGCTTCAAATGTCAAAAGTTTTTAGGCAGAATGACCTGACAAACACTGTTTTTGGACATTAATATGATGCTCATTTCTAGATTGACGACAGGATGAAAAGATAGAAATACATAAAGGCCACTTATAATTATACAAGCTTGGATTGTTATAATTATTCAGAAGTTTGAACTAGGATTACTTAAAAATCTCTAAAATAGTAAGTCAACTTTTGTTTAGAGCCTACAGTTAATATCAGCAAGTGTAACTTGCTCTTTCCTTGTGTCTCAAACAGATTTCCTCTTTCCCCAACCATTTTTTCTCTGTCTTCTAGTTCCATAACTAGGTCACTGAAGCCCTTCATCTCACTATTAAAAAAAACAACAAAAATAACTAGCACAATGATTGCTTATCAGCCTTTTGTGGATCTAGTTATTGAATATCGGTTACTTAAATTTTATTAAGCCGTGAAAATGGTCAGACAAGTTCGGAACTGAAAAACTAAACAGCAGGATTTAGAGATGAAGCCCTAGATGCAATAACAAAATGCAAATGTCAATCTCTCAGATCCTTCTACTAAGCATTTTACTAAATTCACTACTGACGGATGTACTGACAAGTACTCTGTGGAAAAGCTTACATATACAAAGCATCAGGCTAGACATTGTCTAGGAGTAGTTTCCAGGAAACCCTGAGTTCAGGGCTAGACTTGCTGCCTAATCACCACGTGGAAACTTTGTTTGAAACAGATAATGGACCCCGCTGACTCAGTCAGTATGGGATATCACAGGAAATTCTGTATTCCGATCTACAACTCTAAGGGCTAGAAAAAAAGAAAAAGAAAAAAAGTTAGACATAAATGATATAACTCAAGGAGTCTGCACTCAGGTTGAAAAGAAATGACAAAAAACATACATGGATATAAAACATTTCACACACCAGACACATTGTAAGTGCTTGATAAAGGCTGAAATTTGAAGTACTAAAGTTTTATGATGGAGATAATGAATATCCTAATGGTTCTGAGGTGGAGAGAAACTGTGTGTATATAGTTGCTAATGGGAACAAGTCTTTTCTAGAGGGATTAAACTAGGCAATAAAAGGTGAGAAATTTTCATAGAGGCAGAAAGGAGGATATAGGAACAGAGTTAAAAACTGGGATTGAGAAGTGGACCGAAGGTGAGGCCAGACGGCAGGATGTAATTGGAATGACTAAGAATTCTAACTCTGACAGACATGCATCAACCTCTCTTAATTCCTACAGTTCTTAACATATACACCTGTGACCATAACATATCCGCTTGTATTATTTTCAGTTTAGATGTTTTTCTTCTTCAACTGCCTGGAACTCGATAAGTTTTAGGACCATTATTAATAACTATCCTCCAGGCCTCACATGTGTTGAATGACTTAATGAAAGGGAAGATTAATATAGCCTGAAATGACTTCTGTTTTGGGTAATCTGTGTTTTAGATGGTAAGAAGACTTCCACTTGAAAATGTTCATAAGCAACAGACCCTGTGACATTTTAGTAACAGAAGGAAGTCAGGGGTCGGTATTTGTTGTTGTTAATTTAAGTGCTGTTGAATTGGTTCTGACCCATAGTGACCCTATATAGGGTTTTTTGAGGAGCGACTGGTGAGCTTGAACCACTGACCTTGCAGTTCAAACGACTTTGCAGTCCAGCGCATTAACCCACAGTGTCACACCAGGACTCCAGGGGTAGGTACAGGTAGGTAGAAATGGCAATTGAAGAGAAATACCAGGATTATCAAGAGTATAAACTGAAGATCTTGGAAACAGAGTTTGAGTGGAGATAAGTAGAAACAAAACTTAGCATTTACAGGGGGAAAGGGGCAGGGGAGAAGGTTTAGTGCTGAGGTATATATCAAACAGCCTCAATCCCTCATATTTTATTGCATTGGTTCTTTTGATTTGTTGGGTGGTGAGTTGAAGCCTCGGGATGGGTTTAAAATGTTTTGCAGCTAGTAGTCAAGTGCTTAAAATTTGCACCACCAAGGTCTAATTTCGCTTTTTATGTTTCTTAGAGGTGCTAATCACATGCTTACCAGAAATAGCCTAATGCTTTATGGCTATTATTTCACTAACACAGGAAGATGGGCAGTACAGTTACTCAGATGCAGTTGAGTTGACTCTAATGGTGAATCCATGTGTGTCAGAGTAGAACTCTGCCTGACAGGGTTTCCACGGCATTGTGTTTTTTTCTCCCAGCAGATAGATAGCCAGCCTTTCTTCCAAGGGACTCTGGGTCAATCTGTGCTTCCACAAATTTTTTCACAGTTGAGCACATTAACCATTTGCACCTCCAAGGGGCTGACTACAACATTTTTGAGGCAGTTTCAAAACTTTTGTGGCAAAAATGGAAAAAGATGATGAAATTTTTCCACTAACTTTTTGAAGCTCCCTTGTATGATATCTCCTCAGATAACTGACACTTGTATCTCTAGATTTGCTATCTCCCACTAAAGCTAGTTTTACAATGCCTTATTAACTTCAAGCTAGTAAACATGTATGTATTCAGCATCTATTGCCTACCAGGCATTATGCTGAAGGAGTTACAAAAATGGCTAAATATGTGTAAAACATCATGGGCATTTACTAAATAATATGAGAAAAAAGGGGAAGGAAGAATTATGCTGGGAAAGGTGGAGGTGGTATTCATGTTTCAGACTTGGTTGGTGAAGGGGGAGAGTTGAAGGAAATCCAGTAAAAGTCACAAAACAGAGGCTTCAAAGTGCATGTTGGGGAAGAAATGCTAGAGGTAGAGGTCTTTTTATAAGCTCCCATAGCCCCTTGTGGGTCTCCCATTTAGACACTTTCCATTCTCATAGCTGTCTATTGTTCTAGAACCAGGGCAGGGCTCAGTCTTGGTCTCTCTGCATCCCTGGCAGGCACACAGGAAGTACTAAATATTTCGTGTGAATAAATTTCACGGGACGCCTAGAGCTCTCATGAAACATGGAGGCTACTACTCTTCAAGGGAAGCAGGTGGTCGGTCTGGCAGTTCCTTCAGACAGAAAACGGTACACCCAATTCAGTTGCCACCCCTCTCTGCCTCACTAGGCAGGGCCGGGCCAGCCCCCCCAACCACGCCCCTCTCATCCTCCATGATGACGTCAAAGCGGCAGAGATAACTATGGAGACCGCTTGTTGTTGTTGTTAAGTGCCGTTGAGTCGGTTCCGACCCATAGAAACCCTATATAGGGTTCCGAGGAGAAACTGGCGAGCTTGAACCACCGACCTTGTGGTTCAAACCGACTTTGTAGTCCAGCGCAATAACCCACAGCGCCTGCAGCGCAAACGCCCTCTTCATACCGAACCTTGCTCCACCTTCCCCCGAGGCGCCTCTGTGGTCCCGGTTGCTTCAGGGCCGCTCCCCTCCCCGAGGGAACACGGGAGGGACCGGGTGTTTACCTGTCCCCAAACAAGGACTCACCTCTCCACAGAGCTGGTTCCTATCGGACACTTCCGGTGATAGGACTGAGCAGCACCACCCTTCAAAGGTTCCTACCACAGAGACTGTGAGTCTGCGCAGAAAAGAAGGACTGAGTTTGAACTACTACTCCCAGAAGCCTTAGGAGTACCTTCAAGCGCTGTTAACTCTTTTACTGAGATCCTGCAGATCTTGGAGGTTAAACTGGGAGGCGACGCGTCTTTTCTTACAATTGTAATAGTAAACTTGGCTTTGTTGTCTTCCTGTGACCACCCAGGCTCCTTCCGTTAAAATCACAGACAAGAAAACTTTATGGCGAGGTTCTACACTAACAGACATGGGATCCAGGAGTTGGGGGGCCCACTTACAGCAGCTAAGAACGGATTATAGAGTGGGTCATCCTTATCCGCCAGTTGCAGATTTAACCAACCCGGGACTGAAAATATTAGGGGGAGAGTGAAGCAATTAATTGGTCAAGGAAATCTCTCAAAGGCTAAGGAAGTATAAAGTGCTCTTTACATAACATTTACTTTGTACAGTTAAGTGCCGTTGAGTCGGTTCTTAGTTGCAACGACCCCGTGTAGGGCTTCTGAGCGGCTTGTGAGTTTGAAAGGCACCTTGCGGTTCAAACCGACTATGGGGTCCATTATCCTGCCGAGTAGAAATGATTTAAAGTATACGGGCGACTTTGCATAGGTAATATGCAACGGTTACACCGTTTTATACAAGGGACTTGAACGTCGGAATTTGGTATCCGTAGTGGTCCTAGAGAAGCTCTGGTAGCGTAGTGGTTATGAATCGGGCTGCGGACCGCAAGGT